AGTTCCAAGAAGGGCGGAACCGGTCGTGGGCTGTCGACGAATTTCCATCAACCTTATGAGTAGTGCATTACAAATTGATGTGTATTTCACCAATTACCTCACCTGATTTTGAACCAAGCTAACTCTCTTCGAAATTTTGCCTTGATCCCAATATTTTTTTGTTATTTTTTCTGTTCTGAATGAGGTACCCGATAGTGACCTAAGATGGACAGTCTTGTTCTTTTTACCAAGAGACAAACATTTTCGTGATGTAGACTAGACAGCCATCAATCTAACCGTTCAGCTGTAGCACCCTTTCGGTGCCTAACTGCCATGCCATCCGAAAGGAGCACGAGGGCTAGGATACCGCCAAGTTGCCCAAAGCTAGACAAGGCAAGTCGAGAGGTGGAGGTCGGGTTCGAACCATGGACCTTCTGGTTGGTAAATTTGGGCTCTAACCACTGAGTCATCTCACCACTGAGCCATCTAATATCCTTTTGTAGATCTAATAAATATTGTGAGCTGCGTTCCGTCAAAAACCGACAATCACTCATCAACTCTTGCCCTGTTTAGACTGAACAGACCCAGGCAGGTCCAGGTTGCAGCTGTAACTCTTAGCCGCATACAGATTGATGACAGCGAGAGGAGATTCGGAAAGCCTCAGTTGAGATTTCTTCCGGTTGAAAAGCCAAGAATAACAGTTTCATCCTTATTGGGAACCCTGAGAAGTATACATCTCATGAAACTTAACCGAAAAGTTCCTTACCTTCACACCTGATTACTTTTTTCCATTAATATGAAGAGGAAATGCCACACCTGCATCACACAGAATGAGGAGTCAGCAGAATCTTCTCGTCCTCGGAAGCATGTGCTCCCACAAGGGAAAACCATGTTGCAAAATATTCGCCCGTATCAGTCAGTCAACACGTTCGCGTTCTCAAATGCCATCTTTCCAGATGGACACCGCGGGATGGGAAAACCGGCGTCAATGACCTTGATAGATATGTGAACGTCATGTAGAGCTGTGGAAGCTTGAAGGAATGTACTTCAGTACACTGTACATCATTGAGAACTCAATTCAGAAAGAGCAGGTATTCTAAGTCTGCAGAGATCACCTACTGAATGGCATCTCATTCAACAAGATAACGACTGGTTTGGCCTCTGCGAACCTATTACTCTCTATTTGTCTGCTCTTAGGGGGTATGAGCGTATGTCAAATATTTTTATATTCAAATCATAAAAGCCTGATCTAGTGGGCATTTTTCGGATCACAGGGAGTTTGAAGGAATAATGGCAGAACAGTTGAGGTATACGCTTCAGCAGGCATAACTATCTATGACGAAAGCGAACACACGACAATTGACGTCTCCCCTACAAAAAACGTGACTGGATAAAACTTCGATCGGTTGTTCTGACGTCGGTCCTCTGATAGGCTAGAATAACTTCAAGGTCACCACTAACACCTTCGATCATTTGTCTGGTGTGATTGCCGAGGGGCTCGTAAAAGAGCTGTTCCAAAGAACACGAACAAGTTGCTCACAGGTTTACTCCTTTTTTTGTCCATTTTTGGAAGAGTGGTAAAAGCAAACTCTGTGACGGCTTTTCAAAGTCAATGACAAGGTCGTACTAAATGAAAGCGCACCCCGCCGACTTGGAGTCAGGCGAGCGTAAATGAAAAAAGAATTGCGTCCGAACTAGTTTAACTGACCTGTAGATAGATTTCCGAGGTCCCAGACCGATGCACTCGGTCAGTTTGATATCACGAAATAGGATACTAAATTCACAGTCCGAATATCTGAAAAACGCAAAGCACCCAATTAGCAATTACGACGAGCAACGCTCGACCTTGAAAAGACCGGTCAAAGTCGGTAGTATCATAGAAGGGATTCAAATTTGTAGGGGGGGACGAACGGCCTGACACTTCGAGTGTCTCATACTTCCACTTTTTCGTACCATAGACCGAGTCGTTACAGGGGTTATCGTTAAACAGTGATCATTTGGTACAAAGCAGCTGTCAAAAACGTGGCATTATTTCGAACTAGCAAAGGATCATCCACATCATTCGGATAGACTCATCGTCAGGCTACCATTTATGCTCAATGAACGAAGCAAATGAGCAATTCTATGGAAAACGACCCAGCTTCAGTGTCATACAAGACTTTGATATGCAAAATTTGCAGATCCATGTGCAAAGGGACGACTGGTAGCTAAATCACTGACGATGAACTTCGACAAACACAGTCATTTTTATATCAATTTCGTCTGACGGGAGACTCGCCAAGAACCTATCTGATGTTCGCGGGCGGTCGAACGGTCTTCAGCAACCTTATGAGTAATTTTCTTTATGGAAATATACTGCGATATCTCGAATATCGTACGAATTGAAATATGATGCGAACTGTGTGTACCACATTCAGTTGAAGAACATCATCAATGAGAGATTTACTTGAGTCTCCCGTGATAACCAAATTGATTTTCGAATGAGTGCATTCGTCGAAATCGGTCCATTTTGGGTTCACGTAGAGCATAAAGCTAACGGAAACTCGAGGATTGTGCCTACCTGATGGGTCCGAAATAGAAGGGCGAAACCGGCCATGGGCTGTCGAAGAGTTTTCAGCAACCTCATGAGTAGTGTATAAACGATGGAGTTCTTTCAGTAGCTTAGTCAGAGTGACCGCAGTGTCGCCAGGAAGCGGAGATCTATCAAGAACTATCATGAGATAGCAGACAAGTTGATCAGCAACAGTCTTCAAGTTCATTGGTCGACCAATGCGTTTCCCAAGGAACATAGAAGAATGCACCTGCACCCCTCGTCGTTGGTCATTCTCCGTACCGGAGTTCCAAAAGTCAGTGTGTTCCCGTGTTTGAGATCCTTCGTGGGAAGATATAAGGGTAACGGTCCGGAGACAAGATTTCGGCAACTTCATTGACTCGAACATAACCACTCAGTTCAATTGCTTACCAAGGCTGTTGTCGGAGACGACCCTATTCTAAAGTAGTCTTTCGTAAGGGTTTTATAGGACTCTGGAGTTTGACCGGGAGCATGCTATCGATGATGTAAGCTACGTCAACAACAACAGTTTTAACAATGCGTTTTACGGTAGGTACTGTGAACATGAGCGTCTCTCGCTGTACAACCCAGGCACAGATATTATAAGTATGGAACGTGGACAGATAAGACAAACACCGTTTTTAGTCACCTCAGATAAAAATTCCGCATTATATATCTTCATACCTGAGTGTGTGTGTGTGGGGGGGGGCGGTTGATCCGCCTAATGAATGAGGAACACGGAGAAACGTACATGGGTTTACCAGTACAAGTGTACAAATCTGGGTATCATAAACAAAAACTGATGCTTTCCTATTGAAGTGGTGTTTCACTATGATGATGACTGGCTCATAACCGCAAGAAAAACTGACGTCCGCTTTAACGATGTGAGAAAAACGTGAACATCGTTTTGTTCAAAATGGTTGAACAATTCAAAACTAAACTAGCTATTTCTTGAGGTACAAAGAGGACACAGCGGGTCGCATTCCAAATAGAATGTATACAACACGGAACATTCCAGAAACTGGTCGTACCTTCGGTAGTAGAATTAAGACGTATGGTTCCCATCAGGAAGGTTAGATGCCTGAAAGTAACCAATGAATGCCCGAAACCTACTAAGATCCTCAACCCCGTTAGATGCTGACCAGATAGACAACGCCCCCGCAATATGCAGCGCATCACAGTCGTGTATCAAAGCCAGACAGCGTGAGTCAGCGTTGGATCAAGGTCAAACAACGCCCCCTCGATATGCAGTGCGTCACAGCCTTGTGTCNCGAGTCATTGTTGATCAGAATCAGACAACTCCCCCGCAATATGCAGGGTGTCGCAGCCCCGTACTAAAGCCAAACCGTGTGCGACAGCATTTGACCTAGTTCAGACAGTGGCCCTCCAATAAGTAGCTTTAGACCGTTGTACTTTCGCACTCGCATGCACTCAGGCTCTCACACTCGCTTGTTCGGAATAAAGCTGTTGTGTTCCTTATCGGTGAGTCTTTTCCCAGCACTAGGTGGGGTCATCAGTCAGATACAACAGTTTCCGAACAGTTCCATTCATCTTGAAATTGTTGCACATAGCCAATATAACGTTTGATCTAGGAAGATCCTTTCAAAGGCCCAACAAAAAATTATGACTGTTCATCGAGTGCTGGAGACAATCGTGGTTTAGATGTATGCATACCTCTACAATCTATTGATTTTTGTTAAATTGTCCGCTACTTCATGTCAAACACTATACTGGTAGTCAGATTAACCTCTATTGTGTGTGAATGGATCAATAGTCCTCAGTTTCACTCTTCTGTTTCCTACTCATTGTCATCATCTTCAAATTCATTGATTTGAATCATGAAATTGGGCGATTCGTTGTCTGCAAACGGACTCCACGGATCCCACTCAGACTGAGCTGTCCGAGCGTGATTCTGTTAGACCAATCGGGTGCAGTCTAGTCCATTTGAGCCCAGCTGGTATCAGTCATTTCCTTCAGAATATGTCTACCGGAACATTTTCACATCCGTACACAGCTCGCCCCTCTTGAAATCACATTCGTTCTATGCATAACCAGACGCATCCTGTTTGCCTGTTTTGCTAAGCTTCGTGTTAACCTGATATAGGTCAACTTCGTAGATCACATGATCTCACTCTGCAGGTCACGGTGGTACGCAGAGGTGGCTGCATCTGACAGAGATAAAACCAGATTGACTTGGATTCTGACAGATGCCTACGCAGAGGCAACCAAAACTAGTTTTGTTTTGCATGAGTCCGTAAAAGTGCACACCTGGCGCTCATGAGTACCGGATACTGCAAAATGATAGAAGAATGAGTAAAAGTGGCGCGCATCACCTACCATAGAGCATTTGGGGGGGGGGGCTACTGAGTTGGGGGCAGTGGTAACTCGACTCGATTTCATCGATATTCAAGTGTATCACGAAGAAACCAGCTGAAACGTTTCAGAATCGCACAATAGCAGACTGAGCTTTCGTGAGCAGTCCTCATCGGTGGATGAACCCATTAACACAATCGGTACGTCGTTTGAGGCGTTGTACAAATCAACCATGTCGGTAAGGGTTCAAAACACTCGCCTTGCTCGAACGTGATGAATCAGATTCATCCAGTCTGCTTTCGTGTAATGATCGTAACACACTCACCCAGCATGTCAGGTGTCCAGATTTCAAACTCTTGCACTTTGAAACTCTATGCACCACTCACGGCCTCTAATAAGAGCAAAACTCGAGTCGATTATTTTGATTTGAGCTCAACAGAACAACACCACCGGAGCAGGAAGAAGTCTGTAAAAACGAGAATGATGTGAACGCAAAGGTTTATCTTATACTTGGTCACACCATCTCTAACTGAGTGTTTACTTACCTGGAACATGAATTTTCGCTTGTTGATGACTGTGAATTCTCGTCAGCGGGATTGTAGTCTATGTGGGAAGATTGATAAAGGTGGATGAAGGTGAATGGATTTGTAAAACCAGGTTGACCTGACGGTAAAGGAAATCCACAGGGTGAACAGGCTAACTTTTCTGAAACTCGGCTGGAAAAATGAACTACCTCCCAAGATCAGCCGCTTCTCGGACAACTGTTCAAGGCCCAAGCGGAGTGTATTAGAATAAAGACAAAAGAATAAGACAAACTACCTGTGAGGGTAAGAAAAAAAGTGGAATGAAAGTTCATACGTCAAGCTGACATGACCGATAAACTTCCACATGGTTAGTTAGGAGTTCATATCTAAAAAAAATCAAATTTATGGGCAGGTCCAGTGGCTGGTAGATAATGAAACAATCAAAAATTATATCTAGTCATTGTTTTACGCGGACTGACTGAACTGATTAGTAGAGGGCGGTCACCATGGCTTTTTCATTCCCAGAGTTTTGAACTGGGGTCATCATCTTACCACTCAAACAGTAATGATTTGGACTCCGAACTGGGTCGGTTTTCAAATGAACTTTTATTCTCCAAGTGAAATTACTCTGCGCCCAATGGCCTAAAAACCCTTTATGGCTGTTCCTCTCTTAGTGGGAATCGCTAGCGGTTCGAATCTAGCGAGACCCAAGGACATTTCGAACCTACGACCGCCTAGCTACTGATTGCACTCTAAACCATTCAGCCTCTGAACTTCCCCTGTCTAGTTTTGGGCAAACTGGCAGTATCCCAGCCCTCGTGTTTCCTTCGCGTGGCATGGCAGTTAGACACCAAAAGGGTGCTATAGTTGAACGATTTTTTCGAAAGGCTGTGTCGAAATTATACAGCATATAGCACCAATCACTGACGCCTCGAGTGTCGACATTTCATATGAAACGTTCAGGCGTTGTGTGAGCCATGCTTCATTCAATACTACTTGTGATTTGTTGCCAGTACAGGAAGATCGGGGCTGAATCACGGAGCTGATCAGCTGCTCATGAGTGAGTGGTCTAATGTTCAACAACTGACTGGGGGGTTGAGAATCTGAATCTCCATGGAGGTTCGTAAGATGCGCAGTGATGATAATTTCTAACAAGAAAAGAACAGCTTCCCAGTGATTCACGGCAGATTAACTCCACTTACAGGCCTAACGCTCGCTTTAGAACACAGAGAAACTCGACGACTGCACCTAACTGATGATCCCGAAGCAGGGCAAAACCGTTGGTGGGTTGTCGAAGAGTTCTCAGCAACCTTGTGAGTAGTTTTCTTTATGAAAATATACTGCGATATCTCGAATATCGTGGCAACTGAAACATGAGGCGGCACATTCATTCGCTTAGATACATTCTAAACAAGAGGTTTCAGATAAGTCTCCGATCTAAACCAAATGGATGTGCTAATGAGTGTATTTCGTCGATCGATATAAGTTAATTTCTACGTGTTCGGAGACCATAATCACCCTGCAATCATGGGAAAATAACACTAGAATAGTTCACCACGGTGCAGTCCAATAGACCAACCGTTTGATTGACCTTCACTTGGACCCAAAGTGGAAATGCTGAAGGTCTATTCTGCGAAGCACACTACTCAGGTGAACTAAGATGAGAGCAGGCAATCACGGATCCTAAGATAGACTATCCATTACTCCGGCACGTCGCCAAGTTGACCGAAGCGACAAATTGATTGTGCGTCAAATTGTGATGAAATGCACAACCAACCATTTGCCCATTTGCGGCTAGGTTTTCAAAACCCCGACTGGGTTTGAATTCGATGGACGACGTCATCAGTCCGGTTTTTAGCTGTTAGTTTTCGGAATTAAGGCAAAAGAAACAAATGAGTAATAGTGCAAGAAACTTTGGGTTTTTTAACCTAGCCCCAACACTCCAACGAAAAAGGTCTTTTTGGAGATGCTCACACCCTGAACTGCGCGTTATCTTTCTATAGAAAGCTCCCAATTAGGAAGCAATTTAAAATGAACAGTTTTGCTGAGACAACGTTTTTACAGTGTAAAATGTCCATACCGGCAAAAAGTACCAGTCAGTGAGCAGGTTGAAATCAGGTAGAAACCGCCTGACTGGTCGAGAGTCCCATCCGCGGCAGTGAGCTAATTTCGTTAGGTAGATAGTACAAAATCGAATAAGTGCTGTTCGCCAGAAACAACTCAGTATATGCGAAATACACTCATTTGCAAACGAGTTTGGTTTTTCGAGAGACTCACCTGGAACCCAACTTGATCTCTTTGTTTTGTGATGTTTCTTTGTGATGTTTCTAGGCAACTGAGTGTGCTGCCGCCTCATGTTTCAGTTGCTACGATATTCGAGATATCGCGATACGTGTATATTCGCAATGCATTACTTATAAGGTTGCTGAAATTTCGTCGACAGCCCACGACCAGTTTCGTCCTTCTTGGGGCTCATCAGGTAGGTGCGGTCGCCGAGTTTCCACCAACATTATGTTCTACTTAAAACCAGATTGCACGAAATTAGCGAAATACACTCATTTGCAAAATAATTTGGCTTCAAGTAGAACATAAGGTTGATGGAAACTCGGGGACTGCGCGTACCTGATGAGCCCCAAGAAGGGTGAAACCGGTCTTGGGCTGTTGGCGAATTTTCAGCAACCTAATGAGTAGTGCAATACACACCCGGCATATGGGTGAATATAAGTCACAAAATCTGTTGAACCTGTGTAGAGACAGTGTAATGGCTGTTCCACAAAAACCTATGGGTGAATATGTCACAAAATCTGTTGAACCTATGTAGAGACAGTGTAATGGCTGTTCCACAAAACGCTCTGTGATGTGTACCGACTATCGCACCAACTGATGAGAGATTCAACTGGATTAAATTCAACCCTTCAATAAAATCAAATGAGTGTGCAAATGAATTCAGTCCTCGAAATGGATGGTTCATTTTAGAAAATAATCCTTCCAAATATCAGTTACTGCTTAGTCCAACTCGGTTCTTGAGTAGCTCAATTTCTGTTGGCAATACATTCGGCCACTGATCATCACAGTTTTGAAATATGTATACTCGTTGAAAAGAATGGTCTTCGCAGCCTCATTTAATTTTAGCCACCTTTCAGGCCCAACTTCCGATTAAGCACCGCCCCAAACTAAGCAGCAACCTGAGTGCCCTTCAGTGCTTTTTCTCATTGGGCGAAACCGCTGTGTGTAACTAGTGAGGTGTACACGTATTTGTGCTCTACTGCCTTCTGCTGGTGACCTAACAGAATCCTGGTGCAAGTGATGAGTGGGTGTATGTTAGAACTTGGTGGTTCAACTGTTTCTTTACCGAGCCAAATAAAATTGTTCGCACAACAGCAATATCCAGAAAATTCTACTTTTTACTGTCAGCAAAAGAATGATGCGAACGCACGCGCTGGTGTGGCCTGACTGGAGCTGACAGAACCCCCTCTGAATCTTTCGTTCATTCATCATACTGAGCTAGGAGACAAAAAAACTCGGACCGTTTTTATTGGTGCATGTATCACGTGACTTACTCGAGTCACTCCATACGACCAGTTCCGGCAGGCAGGATATTGATCGGGTGGGGCGCGATAGCGAGCGGTGACGCGACATACGCAAGCCTAGCTGGGAACCGCTTGTTTTCCTGTCTAGTTGGATCACTTCAGGCGCCGCGACGCTGTACCTCTTGCTGGAGTCGAATTTCTTACTCCTTGATTTATGCTTGAGTGTGCCACGCCGTGAACGGGAGAGCCGTTTGCAGTCATTACCAGATTCATCAGATCCGCTTCCAGTTTGGCTCACGTTTGTACACAGACGGCGCTCTAGGTTTTCCGTACAACAACTTGCTTGCAATTCTCGGACTGGTTCAGATCCATTTTGGCAAACAGGGCATAATATCATGCATGATTCATATTGCGTACATTTGCTACGGCTTTGGTATAGGCCGGAAGTTGACTGAAGGTCAGATCCGGAAAACCTTTGCCCAAGGAGGGTGCTTTTATGGATGCAGTTACATGCGAACGCAGGTTCTACGACACTGTAGGAGCTTTCCAAATGGTCTACAATCGAAGAGTGTTCCTTTATGTTCTGTTCTTTACAGAATCCTGACTCAATCACAGAATCTTGAACAGTCGTAACTTCAGACGTCCGACCAGACGGGTGCAAGTTCCAGCTCTGGTCGCATGCAACGAGTTTCACAGAAGTCCGAGCGGCAGCTTCCCGTCTTTGTTTCTCCGCAGCTTCTATTTGTGCTTCACGTGTGGTCGCCGCAGCGACTGCTTTAGCGAGCTTCTCAAATTCTTCTGTTGTTAGCGTGGACCATCCAGTCATCGCCATGGTATCCACAAAATGCTCTGGTTCCTTTGGCACCTCGCCATATACTTCCTTCTGTTGTGTTGTGCGTTCGCCTGCAGCTGATGAGAAAAACAGAATCCGACAAACGATCACAACCGACTGAAATGCTATTTCGCATGGTTTGAATTAGTAACCAAATAGATTATGGTCAGATTCTGCTCATCTAATCAGCAATATTGTTGTTACGGGAGAACGAGAAGAACAAGTTAACCACAGATTTCCATCTGTGCGTGAGTTATAAAATGCCAGACTGGAGATAGCTGATTGGTTAAGACACGAACGTATTGACCGGAAGGTTCAAACCGGGCACCAGCATCTCATTTGCTCCTGTCTAGACTTGGGCAACCTGACAGGAGTTCATTCCCCGAGCTTCCTTCGGGTGGCATGGCATCTAGCCACCGAAAGGATGTTACAGCTGATCTTTTGGTATTGATATACAAATGACACACCAAGTTCCCCAATCAGGAGGATATTCACTCGTTAGGTACAGATGAATGACGATGGACATACATAACACACAGTCGTACTCTAGTCATTAAAATGGGCCATAAGTTCAGCAGCCAAGTTTTAAAATGCCAAAAATGGACTGTGGAACGCACGCGGTGGCAAATGACCCTCAGGAATCCCAAGACATTTTATGCTAGACTGGCCAGTTTGGCCATTCCGTATTCTCCGTTTGTCAAAATTGTTTGCGTTAACCACTCAGTTGTCATGGCTCTCCTCAGCTGCTAACAAACTCACTCCACTCGACTCTCCCCGTCCGGACGACTGTACTCCCCAATCACACGTGATCAATTTCATGTCTTGACTATGCACACAACGCAAATGTCTGCCCGTGATTTTTTCGTTAAGTGCTCAGGTTGGTACTATAAAGCACTAATATTCACCTACTGCTTAGCTTGTAACTACTGTTCTCCCATTGGCTAGATGTCACAGAACCTCACCGGCCCAACGACGCGCCTTCACGCGCCTTTTTCAATTCCGAACGGCCCCATTGAAGGGGTCTCCTTCCAGGATATAGCTCTAAGAAATTATGATACGGCGCAACTGAGGGCTGGTGCTTGTGCGCATGATATAGAGACTCATTTCCACAAAAAGTGATCTGTCTGTAACACCCTTGCAGCGCCCAGCAATTGTACTACCCGAAAGAGGTACGAGAGCCGAGATACTGCCAGTCAAGATGCAGAGCGTGTTGGTTCCGAACGACGGACCTTCCAGCTAGTAAGTTCACGTTTCAAATACTGAATGATCTTGGACGAACTTTGTATTAGACGTTCTATTATGAACAAGAGTTAGAAGTAACTGGTAGCAGCGCGTCTACAACATGAGCAATGCAATTCCACATTCTTTACCAAAAATTGATCGTTTCTGTGGCTCTCCTCATCAAAGTGAGGAAAGGACGAAGTACCCAGTAAACATGTAACACACAAACTTCTAATTTGTTACAAAAACAGAACAAATTTTACTTGTCGAACGACAAAAACAAATGCGCCGTAATGCAACCATGACACCCAATAATGGTTGTACAGCACTGAGACATCGGTGTTGAATACTGATGTCATGCTGCCGATAAAGGTGATGATGATGATGTGTAGTGCTTTGGTCCCGCTGATTTCAAACGTTCATAGAAATATCTTTTGACATGGAGACTACACATGTTGGGACTCCATCATAAAACTACACCGGACAAAGAACACGTCGCACACGGAACGGGTGGTCGCTCTCCCCAGTGATGCCTGCCATGCAACACAATACTTGAAGGGCTCTTTTTTGGAGCGACCTCTCTAAAGAAAGGGGCTTCCTCTGCCTTGGGTCTACCATTAATTCATCACAGAAGTTGTCCCTTGTCGTTGGTACTACTTCGACTGGGGATAAACTGTAGTGTGCTCAAAGAAACAGAATATAAGTGTGCTCAGACCAATGACTGGTTTTGGAACATGTGGGAGCCACTGCTGGGTAACACATTACCAAACGGTGTTCCGGTAGATTAGGCTCTGCTTTCGATTATCCGTAATTTAAAAGTGCATCTTGACTGACATAGCAAGGATGACTCAGGTTTTTAGCTGAAAAAGCCAAACAAAATTGATTTATCAAACCCATTTCAAACCGATTCCTGGATCAACCTACCTAGGTATACATCTTGGCAGTCATTGGATGCACACGATGTGGGCGAATTCGGTTTCTAAAGCTCCAAAATCAAGTTAACATTGCTAGGACATAACAGCTGAAGGTCGGGGGTGCTAGCCCAAGGAGGATAGAACTCAACTCAATTCGCATGTTTTCACTGCCCCTTGAGAACATTCTGGATGTAGGTTTCTCAAACTGAAAAAAAACACCTATCTGTATTGAAAGTCAGATTCAGAACACTGTCAATGCGTATTTGAAGTTTAGGCTTGATAAGGGGCTCACTGAGGCGGATACGCCGATGATAAACCAGTGGCTGAGGATATCCGTGAGAGTCTTGAGAAGAAGAACGGTTGAGAACAAACCATGTTTTCTGTGATTTGGCCGCAACCTATGGTTACGCTGGTTGATAATCGATCAGCTGTAGTACCCTTCCGGTGCCTAACTGTCGTGCCACCCGAAGGAAACACGAGGGATGGGATACTGCCAGGTTGCCTAAGCCTAGACAGGAGAAGTCCAGAGGTCGGGTTCGAACCACGCACCTTCTGGTCAGTAAATTCGCGCTCTGACCACTAGATGACTTGCGACAAATCTCCGCCTGTTAGCCCGCTGATTCTATTCCATCAGGCTTACATCACTGCCAAAGATTTGGACACTGCATCACATTGGGCTCAACAGAAACGGTCGCTGACTTTTCAGCTATGAACAAGAGTCTGATGATTTGTCCGCGGTTGACCAGCAAACGCGTTTCGGATTTCAGCTGTTCTTGATCACAGCCCACATCAGTTCCGACCCTTGCCGATTGTAGATTCGGACTACAAAATGGTACCGTTGCATCATTTTAGCCGACAACATGACACAGAAACCAACTGGAATACCAGTATAAGATCATGAAGAATGCAAACAGCGTTGAATAGTCCCACCTGGTCACCACTGGATGTTCTATGCTTTTTGCATACAATACATCTACTTGTGCACTACACTTAGAAAAGGTAAAGTCTGGACGAAATAGACATCACCTAACTCACATGAGGCAGCTATTTTCAGTGGAGCGGGGACGTTTGGGGCACGCCGACTCGTCAAATCCCTTGTCGGATAACTTTGAGACAACGTGGTTCTCCGTGAATCGTCGTTCGATTTACTGTTCCCAGCCGCCTCAGTCGGTGGACGACGACTAAGCGTAGCTTTCGGGTTCTTCGACCGAATATTGTCCAGCCAGCGGCTAAATGCAGCCCGAATTCCACTGAATAGAGATTCTGATTTTTGAGGTTGAGTGTCGGGTGCTCCAGCGGCGATTTGTACAATCTTGCGGCTGGAGGACAATATTGGTGTTCGTACCCCCATCGATGGGGCTTTAGAACCGTAACCAGAAGAAGAGTTGGGCGAAGCGGGGAATTCATCTGGGGGTGCATTCAGGTTAAAGTACGCTGCAGGTGCGACTCGCTCATCGACCGATGATCGACCCCAAGTGGTCGGGGTGGATGCGCTACTAGGGAGACAGTCTGTTGTACTTTCATCCGACCTGGGGGAGCGCAGTATCTGTAGGTTTGCTTCCACGGTTGGCAGATGAAATCCACGACGTACCTGCAAGTTCCGAACCTCTGGACTAATCGTTCTTTTCGGTGAGCTCGTGGCTGATTTCGAACATGGTTTGCGTATTCCAGTTTCATCCATGGCGCCGACACCCAACTTTAAACCAGAAAAACATCTGGTGCGTTTTTCTGCTCGACAGGATCGTGGTCGACCGAGTGAATGATGTTTATGCCGGATTGGGGATACAGGAACTCCGGAGGAAACCTGCATTCTTGCTGCTGATGGAAAATAAAGAACAGGCTACGGTCAGGTTGGGAAAAGGTAAATTCAAAGCACTAAATGTTCGACATTTTGAAACATTTCAACCACATTCTGTCTTGCATAAACTGAATCTATGGGGAATTTCAAATTACAAACGATGATCTCACATGCAGTAGATGTAAGAATGAGGCACGTTAGCCCTAGCTAGCAATTGGCAAAAACACCGGAAATGTCCGGGCGCCGAAAGGCCGTTTTATATCAGGGGCATTGAAGCATGCTCGTGCCGAGCATCATACGTTGGTCGTACGACAAGGCATTTATCGGACAGAATGAGAGAGCACAATCCCCTATCTCTGAGTGGTAGTTGGAAGAAACCAGGCTCAAGCACGATTGCATCACATTTTGCCGAAACCAGTCATGTCATAGACAAGGAGCAAGCCTTCACCATCATATACCGGGTACCTATGAACCGATCATGACTGGTACGATCCAGACAACTATCGATCGCAGAGACGATAGGAATCCGACTGTTGGATCCACAACTTTGCATCCAAAAGAAACTTGTGCGACCTCTGAACTTGAACTGGCCTTCGGTCCCACAAGTATGTCTGACATTGACGTCACTTACCTGATTCCGTGACCCATTGACCTTTCCCTCATCCAACCCCCCTTTCTTTGATTTTTATTTCTCTAAGGTGCATGTAGCCTCGACCCTAACCTTTTCCACGTGATTTCTGCTACCATATAAATTGGTGATGTATTAGCCAAGATGAACAATCACAAAAAACAACCTTTGTTCGCTACCTTCTTCGTTCTCATGGCTGCTAATCGCTGGGTTACTACAACTGAAATACCGTTGGGGTTTAGTGGTACCGATCAACCATCAGGGGAAAAGGACAGAACGCATACTTTCATTTTGGGACACCCGTACTTTAAAGGTTATACTGGTATAGTTCTTCCGAGAAGAACTCACCTGAACTCGGACCACTGGGACTTTTGAACTTTGGACTGATGCTTGCCAGGTGAACAAAAGCGTATTTCATCTTGAGTTTGCTGTTCTATTTTCCGGTTCATTAGGTAGACATACCGGGATCGGTAGCACCTGATACGCAGAGTCCCGACCTAAAGCTGCCACCTTGACGTGGTGGTCGGGCTTGAGTGCTGCAATGATCCCACGGGTTACACTGGCTGGAACTTCGTTCCACAAGGTGCAACCATGCCAGGAAGGCCAAAGGGGAGCAGCCAGACCAAGAGCAGCGAGACCCCGCACTACGGGCAATCGTGGTACGGGGCGGGCTGGGGGTAAAGTCGTACTGTACTCTGCGACAGGAGTGTGAAGGCACAAGGTGTTTCCCCCAGGCGACCAGTATGTTCATATTTATGGAAGCAGCGATGCTGCCTTCCCCCGAGGAAGGACGGGTTAGTAAAGGTCGGCCCCCAAAACCGCACACTCCGATCGCCCAAAGGTTGACCGTGACCGCCGGCGCATTATCTAATACGGTCAAAATACTTTTAAAGCCAAAGAGCCCGGTGCTGCTCAAAAGGCACCTGCTGTGCGCAGCCGCAGCAGGAATGAG